AAAAAAAAAAAAAAAAAAAAAAAAAAAAAAAAAAGGGAAAACAAAAAAATAAAAAAAACAAAAAAAAAAAAAAAAAAAAAAAAAGAAAAAAACAAAAAAACAAGAAAAAAAAAAAAAAAAAAAGAAAAGAAAATCTATTCTACAAAGTGTTACGATGGCGATTTTCACTCTCTATGGTGGTGTATGCATTAACACTTCCATAAAGACGACTGTCCTTATTGGAATTCATATTACCAACACTGCAAGATAAAAATTTGATCAATTTTTTTCTCCTCTTTGAAGAAATGATAAAATTTTCATCATTATTATTTCGTGCATCATAATCATAATATTCGTTATCGCTATATAGACTTTCATAGTCATTTTCTAAATGTTCAATAATTGGTGGATTTTCTACATGGTCATATGGAATGTGGGGACGTAAACATACATAATCCACTGACTATATTTATTGACGGACAAAAAAGCTCGTTAATAACGAATAACACATAGTATAATTCATCGGAATGACAAGATACATACAAAAGGACCTTTGGAAGATTTAGATTTTGGTAAATCTTCAGCGTAACAAGAAATACCGGTATGTACTTGATATCTTCTGTCATCGAATTGATCTTTCTTAGCAATTATAATCTTGTAAGGTAATCGAATATGAAACCATCCTTTGTCAAATACTTCCTGGAGCTTATCTGGGTCAGGTGAAAATTTGAACTTTGATTCCCTTTCATAAGAATTTAGATATATATCATGCTAATTAAATGGAAAAATAAATGAATATGAAAAATTCAAGATAAAAAATTGTAACAAAAATTTGGCGGTCCCGTCATTAATACCCCAATTTGATTAAATTTGATTGTAGAATCTCATATAAAATTGATTAAATGTAAAGGGAAAGACTAAGAAATTTGAAATAATTCATGATTAACCGTTAAGTAAAAGTTTTCATTTAGGTTAAGACGTGATCGTGCCAATTTTTTGCATTATGACTAAAGTACTCATAAAGAACACATACACGCAACCAAATATCTGTAGCAAAAGTCAATATTGGTCTACAAAGGAACCTGTCAATCCTCATTCGCCATATTATATCATAGACACCAGGTGGAACATTACTAATAGTCATTTCAATCTATGAAAAAAAAATAATAAATAAATTATTTACTACAATAGGAAATTACAGGCGTTAAAAAGAAAACAAACCTCA